CGCGTTACCCCTTCGGCGCCGCCTTTACTTGACAGATTCAAGTAGAATACCCCGGAATAATCTGAGCCGTAATAATGTCCCGATGATCCAGAGTCGCCTCCGGTGTATCTATGGATAGGTCGTTACAGTGCTCTGTATTTAAGAGAACTCCTCCACCCCTTTTCTCATATCTCTATATTTTCTAATTACAAGGCCCTGTTTGGCGCGCCCGAGAAATGCAATTTTCCTGACTTCTACGGCATTATTTTCTCATGAAAATATAAGTTAACGGAGGTGTGTTCAGCATGCATATGGGTGCAGTTTTGGGAAAAGGTGTAACTTCACCTTCAAAGTGTCTTAAGAAAGGAGCAGATTTAGCCCAAATATAGCATCGATGGCCATTCCGAGAAAAAGGCGAGAACGTTCTTTTTTACAAAGTTCGAATAACTCAACCAGTAGAGTACTGTACAAAAATCAGAAAAAAATAATAGATAAATAATCAACATATTTGCCGGCTGAATTTATTGTTATTGTTTCCGCTTTCCTTCGTCAAGAGTTTTGATAGTGGCAAGGCTTTTGGTAGTGGTTACTAGTAATATCATACAAATACCAATCCGAAGCCTAGTTTGTGCATGAAACACGGTCATAAGAGCTGTTTCTATGTGGCTAGCTTACTGCCAAGATTTTCCGTTCCCCCGCTTATTCAATTGATTCGGTTTTGTTTTATTCACCTACCGCTATCATACCGCTACGGTACTCGAGTAAGGACACTTGCAGTAAAGTTAGTCTTTGTTGACGTCCAAGTTTGCGTCAAGTTTTGAGGTTGCAGTGTCTCATTTATCTTGTGTAATGGCTGTGGTGAAACATCATCATTGGCTAGGCAGACGAGTTTGGCACCACCAACAGGTCCAACAATTGGGGCGTTTTTTCCCTTTTCCTTTCCCTTTCCGCTTTATTATTGCCTCCGTAATACGGGTTCAGCCTGTTGGTGCATATCTGAGGGGGACAAAAAGAAGTGAAAATTTCAACTGAAAAGTTGGTACGATATCATATATCGGCCTTTACCCACTCATATGATACAAGAACTAGTGTCAAGATAAGTCCGTACCTGCTGTGGACAAGAAATGTACCCATAGACTCCTATCATACAAGAACTGCTAAGATATCTTGGATATACAGGCCTCCCTCAACACATGCAAACCCCCGAGAAAATTTTGCTTGGCCACCCTGATACTTATTCCCTACTTATTCCCACGCAAGATCCTAATAGCCCAGTCGGTTGCCTCACGAGTGAAATAGCCTCGTAATCGGGAAGGGTGTATGAGTGTGTGATAATGTGATGAGGTGTAAAGGCGAAAAACTCTGATCAGGATGCTGGAAGCTCACATGTATAGTTTTTTTTTTTTAATCCTGAATCCTAGATTGGGCACAATACAGCGTCAGGGATCTGCTAGTATATAGCATTGCTAGATCATTACACCAAAGCTCATGGTGCTAGTCAGTGTTCCCAACGGGCCTAGCCTACGAGAATTCCTGAGGATCTAGCCTGGCCGGAGCCTATAAGCCTCGAAGTAACTGAGCCGGGCCCGGCCCGGCCTACCTATAGGATGTATAGGCTTTGTACTACGTGAGGTTGGAGCTCGCTTAGCCGGATGTTTACTTATGTTTTTTTGTTTTCAACCTCTGTTCAACGTGACTTGCGTTCTCCCAAGCTTTCACCTGGCCAGGCCCATGGCAAGCACTAGGTATGAATCCGTATGATATGAGTAAGCCGAAGCAGAAAAGCCACAGTACAGTATGTGCGCTCTTTTAGAGTCATGTGCTCGCACGTATCGGGCGAAGCCTCGACGGTTCCTTCTAGCCCATGCAAGCTCGGAGTGATTGAGTTTTAGTTTATGGAGCCAAGAGCTAAACCTCACGAAAATATGTTTTTGGCACCCTGGATCTCACAATTGCTAGTCCTAAGTGTTGGCAGTGTCTGAGCCACCTACTCAAGTCCACAATGGTATGCAGTGAAAGATAATATGGCAGGTCAGCTGTCGGTACGTAGGATGCAGACCAGAATCTGTTTTTTCATAATGATAGTGCATTTCCGGTCTCTTCTGTGGCCCCCACAGTCCCCAACTTTTCACCGTATCATATCATACTCAAAGAACTGCTTCCATACTGTACTACCTATTCCCACACTAAGAGATATAGTATCAAGATAAAGCTCCGACGGTGAGTAGCCCTTTCACTTGCCTCGTCTAGCGAAAGGCGAGAGCATTTCATCCAAGGCCCGGTCTGCGAGCTAAAAAAGTCATTAACCATTGAGACCCCGATTAGGAAATATACAACTACACGTCTGTGCAACCATCCTCCACAATGAGCCTAGCGCCGGAGGGGGTCAGCCACTGGCGGGAGAGGCGTAACCAAAGGAGGTGTAAATATTGGTCAGGCTCTTCCAAGGCCTCTAAGAAGTTCTTTCGGGCGTTAAGAGGAGCTTGATACCGCCCAGTGAGAAAGAAAAAAAGTGATCAGGTGTCTTCACTTTTCTAGTGACGAAATGTCTAATAGTGTTTGGGGGATAACTAGCTCTTCGTGATCAAAGGGATAATTGAGCATCTTGTGAGGGGCTACTATAGCTCTATTCATGAGTTGCCGCTATCCCCTTCACCACGCAAGCAAGCAAGCAAGCATATAAACCCCCCTTCCCATGCACCAACCATAGCTCTTGCTGGCCTGCTGAGCCTATCGCTTTTTTTCCCTCCAAAAAAAAGAGAAAGATCCCCCTCCAAAAAAAAATTTACAATATGAAATCCATCTACCTAATCCTCACCCTCTCCCTAACCCTCCTCGTCGCTGCAAATCCGGTTCCCAACCCGACCGCCGACCCGGATCCAGATCCCGTCGCCATTCAGTTCTACGGAGCCAGTTTGACAGGCATCCCGATCAAGCGCCGCGATGAGGAGCCGGCCGTTTTGGTGAAGCGCACGCAGTCGCCGACGTCTGGGGAGCATGCAAATAAGTGCGGCCCGAACAACCAAGTCGGGGGCGTGTCGTGTACAGTACGTGTGGTGCAGGGAACGATGGCCCTTGCTGCTCCATCAACGTACGTGTCCCACTTCCCTATCACCCCCCCCCCCCGCGCTCTCCCTTCGGGGAGGGCGATATAATAATGCTAATGGAATGGTATGACAGGGATGGTGCGGGTCGAACAGTTACTACTGCGGCGGTGGTTGCCAGGACGATTTCGGATCTTGCGCGATCCCGTACTTGCAATTGACATACGATGCGGACGCGGGTGATTCTATATGGGATGTCATCTCGGACAATGTATTCGATGCGGCGGTCGGAGACGGACTGCTTTATTATGGGGCCGGTGAGTGCTCATCTCTGTGCATGATATATGTGACATGGAGTGACAGTGTATGGCGGTATAGGCCCTGCGGGTGGGTGGCCCAACTAGCCCTATCATGGACTCGACTGGCTGCAGTTGGGCATGTCCGCGGGGAGGGGTGTTTAGCGGAATCGGCTGCAGACCTGATCCAGATGTGCGATTCGGTGTGAATGTTGCGAATTTTCTTTTGTCCATACTATTTTCGAGGAATGAAAGCTCCCGTCCCTCTGTCCAAACTATTGCTCCAGCCTGAGGTATTCGTGAACGCGATATGAATTTTCCCGGCGTTCCTTGAGTAACCTATTCGTGTTAATCCACAGAGACCCCTAAGTTTACCAGCAATACTCCTCCTTAGGGCAATACCAGTTCCATGGTAGTAAAGTACTACTAGTAGTAGTCTTAGGGAACAAGTCGGAAGGTACCAAAGCCAAACAAGCACAACGCTTAAAGCCCTGTTCGGCGCGCCATTTTTATAGCATAAAAGAAACTTTTATAGTATAAATTTTGGCAACTAAAACTTTTTATATAGGGGTGTGTTCGGATCCTACAAAAAATATTACAATATATCTTTATTTCAATATATATTTTTATAGCATAAATATGAGAATATAGTATATAGGTTAAGGGCTAGAAATAAGAGCCCTTTACAATATTATTATAAAATAGCTATGTTAGAAATTATTTCAACTTTAACATGAAATTCTTTAGTGTCCTCAGCCCACAGACTATTCTCCATAATTGCTGAGGGGTATTTATGTCATTTGTACTTTATATTGCTTGTTCATGTAGTAAAATATCCTACAGAAATAGTAACATGAGGCTCTTTTATTTTGAAATACTGTTTTTAACCCTAGTTTTACAACAACAATGATAGGGTTTGTGTTGTCTTGGCAACACATATATTTATTTTATATTAAATTTTGTACAAACACCTATTTCTGAAATATACTATGAATTTATTTTAGAATATACGCTATTTGCAACTTTTATTGCAATATATTTTTATTGTGATGCGCCGAACAGGGCCTAACTTACCTCCCGACCTCAACATTTTTTTTTCCAGATCTATGGCATCGTAACAGTAATTTTCCAAGGTTAACCAAACCCCCGCTAACATAATATAGAGTAGCCAACTCTCAGAGGCGGGGGGGCGAATCGTATCGTAATCCTCAGGGACCGGAAGGCGACGATCATGCCGAACACCAATTTATCTTCCTCGAAACCGAAAGCCCTTTTAAGCCCTTTTCCCCGCCGAGTTTTTACTTGCCTAAAGAAAAATTTAAAAAAAAAAAACAATACCCGGGCACGATGGTGGTTTAAATCCCTATAGAGCTCAATATCGATAACTCAAATACTTCGAGGGCCAACCTCGAGGAAGCGCTATACCATTCAGCCGCGTCTAGTATATGGCGGGGGGGGCGATATTGGGACTGCGAAATACCTCACGGTCTGGGTGACTAGGTCTGGAGTGAATGACATCCAAAGTATGCCCGAGTAGCTATGATATAGAAATTTAGTGTAAGTTCTCCATTAGGGATGCTAGATAATGCCGAATTGCCAGGTGTTGGGGGGTAGCAATGGTAGTGCTGGTGGTGGTTTGCGCCTAACTTAATTGTGAGCGCTATCGCGGATTTTTTGTTGGGCTCTTGGCTCGGATTGAGCGGAGCGCGTGGGCGAGTTATCGGATTTTACTCATTACATGAGAATTAGCTTGCTTCTATATCTACATTGTTCATTGATCGTTCATGAGGATTGAGGCCGCTACCCCGCTAACTACGACCAGCCCTTGTGCGACACATCAAACACGAGGAGAGAGAGAATTGCGAAGGGCGTACGAATCACGGTGGCCCCACCGAAGAGCGAAGAGCCCCGGGGGGTCGGGAAGGGTTAATACTAGGCAAGCGGCCATACCTGGCAAGGTCGGGGAATGGCTTAAATTAAGTAACAAAGACTGACATAACAAAGTCATCAGAGGGGGAAAAAAGATGCGTGAAGGGGATCAGGTGCCTGTTTGTGGCCCTCTGGATCTCCAAAGAATTTCCTCCGCCCATTCGGTGTCCTCTAAAACACCAACACGCTCTTGCTAACTTATACGAGATGGGAGCAAATTGCCACCCACCCACAAGAGGAAAAGGAGGAGCTGTTGAATGATGGGGATTACTCCTGGCATTTGTGGTGCATTATAGGAGGCTAGAAGGAGCTGAAGCACTAGATGGTAAGCATCGACCTATTCATACATTTCTTTCCGCCGATATCTAGATTGACATGGCTTGCCTCTTCTTCTTCTTTCCTAGCTTGCTCCCTGGTTCCTTGCTCCATGTGTCCTTGGTCTCCAGCTTTAAATCTTCTATTTGTTTCTCGGCCGCCACAAGAAACTTATCCGAGTCTATGAGAAGATTTATGGCTCCGGCTAAAAGGTCTTTTGCCAACTTTTCTTCCCCGTCGATCAGACCAGATCCCGGTTCCTTAAGAATCCAGTCTTTCTTCGATACTAAGAATCTGGAAACCGTCTTTTGCAACTCCTCCCATGCACCCTTGCTGCCGCTACAGCAAGGATTGTATGAGTATCGAATTAACGCGCGCATGTTTTCCACGAATATGGATTCCTTAATTCTGTCTTGGGCCTCTTTCATAGCCTCCTCGAGCCTCTGGAGGCTCATGCTTGCGAGAGGGAGCACCTTGCGGCGTCGGGAGAGTATGAATATCCCAGCGTGGGTGAGAAAAACCTTTTCGTAGTCAAGGGATTCGGGAGCTGCGGAAGTGGTGGCATTTGATGACCATACTTGACCAGGAAGTGCGTTAGCATTAACATATCTACTATAGCATGGCATAGTAGAATTTCCTCACATGTCTCCTCGGATTCCCAAAACCCGTGTGCAGGACTAGAAACGCGCTTAGGAGCATCTGAGTGGGTAACCACAACTGCTGGAGTAGTGTAGTCGCCCTGGTAAAGGTATTCGACAAAATTCGAAACAGTAACACTGGGGAAGCAAGACCACCCACATCCCCCGATACCAGTGACCTCTTTATCGATCAGTGCTCTGTGCACATAGACCTTCTCCAGGTTTGCGGTTTGCAGCGTCACCACCTTTGTTTTGAGAACGCTGTCGCTAGTTAGTGGTGCAGAGCAAGGCAATCTCGTTAGTTTGGCAGAATGGTATGAATGAACCTCAAGATATTTGGCCTTTCCATGATGTATGTAACTAAGCCGGTGCGCTCGTTATCCGTTTCGCTGCCTTAGTATGATAACCTATCCTTTTTCCTCCGGCTAGGCTGGGCTATGTGAATTGGGCTCGGTAAGTTAGAGGAGGATGAGGATGCAGACTAGGCGGGTGTTGGTGCAGTACGGTGCTGCCATCAGAACTGGGGTGGGTAACAACGAGAGCACCGAGACTGGAGGCCTAACTTGTGGCGCTTAATCTCCAGAGCTCAGCTTTGACGCGGTACGGTGGCCCATGATTGGCAATGGTGTGACGGGACTGCTACAGATAGATCGCCGCGAGTCTTATATCGCGCGGTACTGGTAGAGTACCGCGCAGTACCTTCCCTGCACAAGTGATCGAATTTTACCCTTGGTGGCGGGTGGCTTCAACTGGATTTGCCAATCTATACGCGATAATCCAATGTCCTATCACACTCTGTAGGGATCGTTCTTACCCAGTGATAAAAAATCCGCTTTCCTTTGTCGTCCCCCCGGAAATTCCGTGCCATTGGAGCCCACAACTCCTATAGAATCAACACCAGGGGAGACGGGAATTATCATACCCGAGAGACCGAGCCTGGGGTGGAAGGAAAAGACACCCGGGGTAAAATGTCTTATCCAGCGATTCCAACCCCCGCCTCCCCCAAATACGAGAATCCGGACTCTTAAAACCCAATGCCTAGCTAACTAACATGTACTGTACAACGCTCCTGGAACGAGCTCTGCTCCGTTAGCTTCCACCCTCAGCGAGGTAGTTGCTCAGAGAGGTCCGCACAGAGATCGTCAGACTGTGTCACTTCGAGTTATCGTTTAGCGGTTACCTGCGCGCCCCCGGGCATTGGCACCCGGGCATAACTCTTCGCCGGACGGCCGCTTGAGATTGGTGGCTCATCTCTTATATGAGTTCCTCTGTAGAGCGGGTGCCTCCAGGTTCCCCGGCAGTCACAACCCCATCACGCTCACATAATTTGATAACTCTCAAATAGATACCCCGGCTTCTCAGGACGGTGTATAAACTTTCGACCAAAAAGCTCAGACGCTCGTAAAGAGAGAGAAAACACTCGACGGAGGGTATAAAAAACAAGACTCTAACCGGCGAGGGAATGGCTTAAGCAGGAAAGACCGACAGAACCAGGACACAAGGAAAGGAAGAAATATAAAAGGGGCTAGGTGGCAGTTTGCATACTCCTCAGCAATCCAAAAGAGTTTCCCCCGTTTGTTTCTAACTACATCTTCCCCATGACTTGCCTCTACCGAAATGTTTCCCTCAATACACTAAGACTCCTTGACTATGGAAGATGTATTTCGGGGAGCGCTGAGCAGGGACTCTATCGCAGTTCAAAAAATCGCCGTCTGCCCTCGGAAAGATAAGAGGAAGGTGTTGTTGAATAATCGTGGTTTTAACTGACGTTTATTGTGGATTACAAGAGACTAGTTGGAGCTGAAGCACTCATGATTAGCATTGATCTCTTCGTACTCTCTTACCCCGTTAATCAAGCTGTGAGGACATGCCTTTTTCACTTATTTTCTGACTTTGGTGCTACCTCAAGCTCTAGTTTCAAATCCCCCACTTGTTTCTCGGCCGCCGCAAGGCGTTCATCAGCGTCTATAACAAGTTTAATTGTGCTGGCTAACAGGTCCTTCACGAGTTTTTCTTGCCCACTGGTCAGATCAGAGCCTGGTGCTTCAAGAATCCAGCCTTTCTTCGATGCCAAGAATCCGGAAACCGCCTTTTGTAGTTCCTCCCATACGGGGTCGTTACCCGAGCAGCAGGGGTAATAGGAGTATAGGATTAATGCGCGCAAGTTTTCCGAGAAAACGGATTCCTTAATTGTGCCCTTTGCCTCTTCCATAGCCTCCCCGAGCCTTCCGAGGCACAAGTTCGCAAGAGGAAGTATCCCGCATTCTCTAGACAGTATGAATAACTCGGCATGAGTAAGAAAAACCCTTTCATAGCTAAGGTTCTCGGAAATTGGAAGGATACCGGAACCCGATGGCTGGGCTTTACGTGCAGGTGCATTAGTATCTCTTTAC